AGGCCTGTACTCGCGAATTTGGCTTAGCACGACAGATCCGACCATCCTTTCTCCAAACCCAGTGCTCCGGACCAGAGCCCCTCCACCCTCAGCCCCAGGAGTCTGAGCCCCCTCCCCTGCCTCTAGGCCCACGGATCTAACTCCCCCCACAACAGTCTTGCTCAACTGCCGGTTCTAGACTCAGAGACGCTTCCCCTCCCCTCCCCTCCCCCAGGCTATTTTGGGAGCACCTGTCTGGGCCTAGGGTAGCCTCTAATGAAAGAAACACCAGGATTGCATCAGGGAGGAAGAGGCTGGGAAGTCCAGGGACTGAGCCTCTGAGCAAGACCCGGTCAGGCTGAGGGTGACCTGTAGCCAGGTGGGAGGCCTCCAGACAGGGACCCCTGTGTGTCTGCTGAAGACAGCTCAGTGTGGCAGGAACTGCCTCTGACCACCCCAGAGCCTAGGCGCTGGGATCCCCGAGACCGAGGAGATCACACAGGACCCAGACATTGCCCTGGTGGGGGGGTTCTGCAGCTGTCAATCAGGAGGTGGTTTCCTAGACCCCTAGCCACCCCCTCACAGGGTCCAGCCCTGGCTCCTCCTCCCCCAGACCCAGGAGCCCAGGCCCAGCCCCTCCTCCCCCAGCCCCAGGGATCCAGGCCCCAGCCCCACCTCCCCCAGGCCCAGGGATCCAGGCCCCAGCCCCTCCTCCCCCAGACCCAAGGTCCAGGCCCTCAGCCCCTCCATCCCCAGGCCCAGGGTCCAGGCCCCCAGCCCTCCTCCCTCCTCAGACCCAGGGATCCAGGCCCCCAGCCCCTTCTCCCTCACATCTGCAGGTCCAGGCCCCCAGTCCCTCCTCCCCCAGGATGCAGGGTTTGGGCCCCACTCCTAGCTGCTGTGAGGACCAAGCACCATCTCCCCAGCCTTCCCTAAGATTTCAGGGGTGAGCAGCTGTTTTTTCTAATCAAACCTGCCAGGCCCCCCATCTCCGCCACCCTGCTCCTTCTCTGCCTTGACCCCCTGACTTTATCTCTCCACATCGCTCCATCCACGGCCTACTCCATCTGCAGAGACCGGGAGTCCCCCTAACAGTGGGGGGGAGGGGAGGAGCACCCTCCTTGTCCCCCAAGCCTCCTTGCTTCTCTTAGACTGCAGTGCTGCTGCAGGGCTGGCCTGGGGCCAAACCTCCCTTCACCCTGGTACCCCTCCTGAGGCGCTCAGGCCTCCAGGCTGCAGCCCCTCCCTGTACCCGCCCCCTGCACTTAGCCTCCGGGTCTGGGGGCAGACAGCAGGCAGCTCAGGCCCTCCCCAAGGTCACGAGGAGATTAGCGCTGAGCTGAGCTGAGCCCCGGATCCCAGCTTGGCCCTGGGCCCACAGGATCTGTCAGCGGCCCTCCGCAAGCACCCGGCCTTGCCCCACCCTCCTGCCGCCTTGGACACTGCCCTCCCATCTGCCCGGGCCCCAGATTGGAACTGCAGCCACTCCCCCTCGTTCCACATCCAGCTCCCGCCAGGCCTAGGCTGCTGCCTCTTGCCCTTCATACCCCGATCCCACCCAGTTCCCACTCTGTCCTCCAAAGACCCTGCTGCGCTGTCCAGTACTCAAGACCCCAGGGGGGAAGCCAGGGCCCACAGCCTGTCAGGTAAGGCCCTGGACTGGCAGCACCTCCAGC